ATCATCGTTTCAATTCCTTGGTATGATGCACACATATCGGAGATGATAACTGAGCCAGGAGCGATGCAGGCCTGGATTGTGTCCATTAAAGTGGCCGCAGTTCGATCTGGCCTGAATACATGAACACCTCTTTGGTTCCTCGGCAGATCCCTGCAAAAATCCACTGCTGGGGAAGGACTCGATCTGTGTAGTTTTTACGGCGAGATATTACCGTTTCATCGATCTCGAGGTGTAGACCTGGGCCGCCGATAACTGTTGGAGTCTGCAAAAGCCGCCAGGCGCAAACTTCGCGAAGAAAGTTCTCCCAGTCAGCAGTGGTCATGTGGCTATTAGATAATTCCTCCGAGCAGAATTTGATTTTTGCCAAATTTCTAGACTTGTATTAAATAAATAGAATTACTGTTCTAAACTACATCCTAGACTGCTCCAGCCAAGTTCCTTTTCGAAGACCGATCTGTTGCCGACACTGTCGGGCATTACACCTCCACCTGTCAGAAACAGTTGGAAGTGTCATTTGGTGGCCATCGTTGCATAAACGTTGCTGATGGATCACTCCGTGGCTTTGCAAGAAACATATTGCCGTCTCTTGTCATGAATGAGAGTTCGAATGGGAAATCTTTTTGCACAACATGAGCCTAGATGCAGATAAGGGATTGTTTTCATCAAAAAATAGGTCAAGGTTGTGTGCGTACATTAAATTGGAGCTGGCAAAAAGTGGGCTTATCTATCTGGTAAAGATCCCTCTGTTTGGCCAAAGTTCTCTTGGACAGCAACAGTCTGTGTTTTTAAAACTCTTGCTCAGTTTGCTGCGTCAGAGCTGGCAAAAAGTGGCGGGGCTTATCTGGTAAAGATCCCTCTGTTTGGCCAAAGTTCTCTTGGACAGCAACAGTCTGTGTTTTTAAAACTCTTGCTCAGTTTTGTTGCTGCGTCAGTTTTCCGTACCAAGCTATCAGACTGTAACAAACTACACATGGAAACTGCCAGAATGTGGATGGTCAGTTCGACAATGAAGTGAGCTGCATTCTGAAGAGGACTTCAAGTTCGGTGATTTGCTCTTTTTGTCTTGGAGATTAGTTAAATTATTGGAAGCTCAGGTGCCTTAATTACTGCTAATCTGCTCGTAAGGACTAGCGAGTTATTTGGAAACATCCGAGCCACCATTTGGAGAGACCAATCCAGCATGCGGGTAGTCAGGCATTTCTTTTCTTCCTGCGCATTTTTCGTAGTTTCGAAAAAATATCCCGTATGCGTAACGCGACTAGGTAGTTGAATTTAATCTCACCCGTGGTTTCTTCATTCCCTTTTGATCTGTTTTGTTTTGTAGCTTGTCTTTCCCGGATTTGGCTGATCCGTCAGATACTGACAAGTCCGCTCCCAATTGGTGTTGCGTCGTAGACTGTCTTCTTAGTGACCAACTACTTCACTCCCTTCCTTCCTTCTGTTTTACAATCTTCTGTCCTTCAGCTTGGATTTTTCACTCACAGCTTGCCTTGCGGTCAGTTTCGCCTGCATCTGACTGGTTGTTTTGCACAGCCATCTAAATAGTCACCATTGTCTTGTCTGTCTGGTTTTCCGGTTCGACAACCCCGGTTCCGCTCGTGTTTTGCAAGCTGTATATTCCAAGAAATCTAATTTGCCGGTTGGAAATGAGTTCCCCCTCACTTTTACACTGGTTTCTTCTTTGGCTGCAAACTTGAGCACAGAGTTGTTTTGTCTCTAGATGTCGGCAGACAGGTCGGTTGAAAACTGGATGAGTAGGTTTGCCTATTCTCATATGTCGAACCTCAAGGCTTATCGGAACCGTCGGAAACCTACTCCGGAAAAGCAATTGGTTATCTGAAGTAGGTTAGCTCGAAAGCAGTAGCACCATATAGCGTGATAAAATGGAATTGTTTGTGTACCTCGTAAAATACAATCGATTTGACCGCTTTCTTAATTTTTTTACCCTGTAGGACTCGTGACAAGCTTGCTTTGATGTTACTAGATGTCTCTAGGTTTAGAACCCAGTGGTATGTAAATGAGACTGCGAAAAAAACATTTACCCAGCAGAGCTCAGACCAGCGCAAATGTAATTTAATCGGTCATGTTTCGTTAGATCATCGGAACAGCGTTGTCATCTTTTTTTATTGGCGGTCGATATAAATCGTTACATTTTCATGGTCCGAAACCACATACTGACATTTTTGTGTGTTGGTCCTTCAGCTGGTTGGTGTTGGTTCCCCAGCTTTCATCATGGTTTTTATGCTCAGATAATCTCAAGTATTGGAAACGGATAGGTTCTGTGTCAGCTTGTTTATTGTCGTATGTGGTGACATGTGCAGAATAAAGAGTAATTTTTGGCTCAACACTGTTGCTCATCAAACACGACATACAGATGAACCCGCCCTTTGAAGTGAGGTCACTTCAGAAGAGAGGACGGATACTTTGTCTTCGGTACTAAAATTTCCTGAAAGGATACTCAGTAAATTCTGAAGTTATAATGATTGTTCTACTGTGATACCCTTTCGGTATCTGGTTGTCATATCGCTTGAACGAAACACTAGGGCTGAGATACTATCAGGTTGCCCAAGCCTAGGTAGTAGCATTCGAAATGCCTGGTTTGGACTCGAACCACAGGTCTTCCGACCTGAAATGCTGCAATATCTTGAGCTCAGTTCTCTAGTTCCGTGTGAGCCTTCCACCAGAGGTGGGTAATCATACTTTACTCGCACTTCGCCCAACTTTGGTCAAAGTTGTTTGGCAGGTTTGTTGTCATTCGACCTTACTAGTAAAAGCTTGCAGAGGGTGCTCTTCCACCGTGCCAAGTGACCACGATGTCTGTAGTCCAGATATCAAACGAACAACTCTAGAGTGGCAGTTAAATTTGAATGCAAAGTTTTTCTGAGCAATGGGACACGCCTGCTTTTAGTCAGGTGGGCCGCTGTAACCCAGTGGCACTCCAGTCTTCACTCTCATTCCCACACTCTGATTGGCTGAGTCGGACCACCCGAAATCTAGCTTCCGGTGGGTGCCTCCGTAAGGTTGCTTCCTTGAATCAGAGTAACATAGAGATGTCAATCTGGCCTGCTGTATATGAAAGCCAATGCTAATGTTAATTATCTGACTACGATCAAGGAATCGGTGGAACTTTTGATGATTCCGGTATACACAGGTAAATTTATACCGAATAAAAGTGCATGAACTGAAATTCCCCTTTCATGCAAGGAAACGTCAAGGAGGAACACTGCTACGAGGGTTGCTGAAAACCTTTTGACATCTCATGACTGACTGGAGTTCATCACTTAGTCCACGGGGTTCCGTTAACTTTGTGTTCTAATAAACCGAAATGCACGAAGTATACCCAAGAGAAGTATACCCACCAAGAGTGGTGCAGCTGGAGTTTACTTGATACTCCTTTAAAAAAACAAATTGGTTTAGAAATAAGTGTATTCCGAAAAACTCACAGAATTTTGTGCAAAGGTGGTAAGCAATACGTTTCCAGTTCTCAATTCTCCAACCGAACTCTGTTGAACTAATGCTGGCCCGCACCACTGATTCACCTATGGCCTTATTTGACGAAGCTTGATAGACAAACATGATGAGACAAACGTAGACATGGAGTACAGTGGATTCATTGGCAAGAAAAAAGCTTTCGTTTCTTGTCTGGTCTGGAAAATACACACTTAAGAGGCACGCACCCTAATATCTCTTAAACAATACTCAACGAGAAGAAAACATGAACTTCTGTTCATCGCGTATCGTGCCCTAAATGCTTTTGAGCCTGATACTCGAGTGTTCCGTTTGGATGCCAGTTCACAGATAGGGGATCATGGGTCGGTTTGGTTGCAGACTTCAGGCTACTTCCGAGAGCGAGGTTCGGTTTCCGAAATTGAAAGCACAAGACTCAATCAATCAACATCAATCCAAGTTGAATAAACAGCAAGTGGTAATCATATAGGTGAACCGGGACTTGTAAGGCATTGTATAAATTAACCGGCCGAATATTGTAGTTCACCTTCACCGATGGGAGTCTTCTTAGCTGTAGGCACATTTTACAGTTTGTGCCCAGCACATCTTCAAAACAAATACTCTAGTGTCTATCTTCTTGGTGAGACATTTTGGACTGAATTTCATCACCTAAAATAACGGTAGCTAGGACCTGTCTGATGAATAATGAAATCTCTTGGCAACTTTAAACGATACCGTTTATTGACTAGATGGGACTTGAACTCATTTTTACAATCATCCTCTCCTGATTCACTCACGTAAAACTCCTTGCGACCCTCACCTCCAAGGGTTTGGGATCCTATCACAACTCGAGACCAATTTCGCCCAACCCAATTTATCCAAAAAAACCTCGAAGTTGCTGCTCTTTGGAATGTTTCTGTCGTTTTTGTTGTGTGATCTTCCTCACCTGAACAATACATGATAATACTCGTTCAGCTATGACACTCTTTTGATATATTGCTGCCATACCACCTGAAGGAAGAGCTACCATTATGTTCCCCGAGCCTAGACAGAAGTAGTCGAGATGGTGAGGGTGGATTCAAACTACGGGCACTCCGGTTAGTAATTTTGCGATTTAACCAGTGAGCCATCTTGAGCTGTTCTTACCTCTTGTTGATACTATCTTCTCCCTAAGTTATGGTTTCTGTAGTCTCTCAGGATTTGGTAGATACTGATGGCTGATAATTTAATCCGAGGTTAAAATTAGGTTAAGGTTAATATATTCCGTCTTTGTAATATAAGCGGAGCGCATCCTGACTCAATAAATCTGCCACTGAAAATGTCCGGCAGTCTAAATTTAGTAATGGAAGTGATGCATACATTTCCCTCCTTGTAGACATGTAAGTAAATATTGGTGTACAGTCCGGCCGTGTGGTATTTTGTGCATCTTCTCCTTCTTGTAAGATAAAGTTTTCACCTCTGAAATGTTTTTGTCTTTTCAGGTTGTAACGCTGGTGGTCTATGTGTACTTGGGCGTCCTGGTTCTGTCTCACCAGTTTTCAGACCCCGTGCGAATGCTAAAAGAATTTAACGCCGCTCAACACAGCCTCAATGGCACAGCGTCGATTAATGGAACGCATCCGTCACCAGCCAGCGCTGCGCTTGATGTGGCACCGAATATTCCTGTCTTTGCATTGCTTGCTCTTATGTTTTATACTGGTTGGCTTCGAGTTGCCGAGTCCAGCGTATTTCCGTTCGCCGAAGATGATGACAACTTCGAGGTGATCCCCTTGCTTGAGCGGAACATCGGCACAAGTATGTGGTTTGTTGACAGCGCGGTAACTTACCAAAGAAATATCCCAGAGATTGTCAAGACTGGTTGCAAACCACCAGGTTCAACTGAATCAGGTGATCTACCTGATGGATTTTCTCAACAAGCTGCGATGGGCTTGAAAAGATCTATGCCACCGCCAATACAGAAAGTTGTGCCCGATGCCCACCGAGCAAGCACTTCATTAAACATACTTGCGGATCAAGACCTACCATGCCCCACCGAGTTACGCCGCCGTGAATCGAAGTATTTTTTCGCTGGTTCCATGGCCAGAATTTGCGAAGAGCAGAAGGATAACAGACGCTACCGACGCTTTTCTCGTCCTACATTAAATGCAGATCCGAACGTAATTTCCGTAGGTTCTGACGACGAGTTAGCATTTCCTAGTCCACGAAGGCCATCAACTTCCATTGGGACATTCTTCACACGTGTTGGAGCTCGCGTCTCACAGGCATTCCATTCTCAGCCTTCTAGTTATTCCGTCACAAGCTCCGTCACTGTTGAGGATCCAGTTGTAACATTTCAGAAAGCGACTGGTACTGGTTCGTCGCAATCACAAACAATTAGTTCGTTGGGAACAAAAGCCAAATATGTCTAAAAATTTGCTTTTCTCAATGGTTCTATCTAATCTGACTTATCCTATGCACAGTATCATTTGCTCAATTCTCTATTTTTATGAATTTGTAATAGAAGCACCCTACCATCATGTTATTGGATGTATAGAAATATTTAATTCATTAAATTTGAGTGCTCGCTTCAATAGTTTTTTTGTTGTTGGACCTAGTACCAATATTTGCGTAAGATATGTACATTCAAGTAGTTTCGACCTGTTTCCCCTATACTGCCAGAAATTCGAGACTCGCACGGCATTCTACGCATCATCCACGCCACAGTTGGTGGCTATGGTTGAACCCAAGCTACTCTGTCCCCATTTTATTATATTTCGTTGCCACATCATTGATCACATAGAAGAGAACAGAAACTAACTTACTGACCCATCTGCCGGCTTACTGAGTGGGCCAAATGATCAGAAGAGTTGTGTAGGCGAACCGAAGGTTTTGGTCAGGACGGAAAGCGTTTTATTCATTTGATGAGCGCAGATAACAAAGAGTACCTAGGTAGTGCCTGCACAGCTAAATTTGACCTGTATGCTACCTTGGTTCTATCTTCATCTTAGCCAGGAATATATCAGCCAGAATCAGGTTCACAAGGATGCTCACTACCACCTTGTAAAGTTGAGTCTTGAAAATGCATTTTTAACATTTCTGGTGCAAAATGAGGTCAACTCTTTATTAACTGTGGCAGAAATTAGAACAGTGACAGGACAAGCTGGAATGCATTCACAGATGGGGCCAGCTGAATATTTTTGTAAAAGAGGACTGACCGTTGAAAGAACACATAAAGGAAGGAGATGGGTCAACTGAGTTCGGTGCTCAAGCTGTAAATGGCCTACTCTGTTCTTATGAACTTTGGTATCCCCACGTTCTTTGAACGTTTTGACGTTCGACATTTATATCTAAGACAGTTTCTCCATGTTTTGGGCTGTCGGTGGAACTCGGGTTCAATATTTGTACCTAAGTTTCCACAAGCAAAACATCTTCTGGCCGGGGATCCACCCTGACCTTTCCTGGATCTGAAGGAATGGCTTGCATTTTAATTACACAGTTCTTTTTTTGTTCTGAATGATGTGTCAGATGATGTGTCTCTCTGACTTCAGAATGATATTCCCAGGGATTTGCTTCGGTTGTCTCAATCTTTCGATATGGACTCTCGTGAGTATGCACTTTGACGTAAAGGTGAGGCAGGCATTTATTGACTATGGTTGACAATCTTGGCTTTAAATCAGTTTGCCGCTTCAGAGGCAGTTGGAGTGACGCTGCAGACCCGCTTGGAAAAGTTCACCATTCAGCTACTATATGCGAGTGCTCAGGCTAACGAAAGGAAGTTTACAAAACATTGTGGTGCAAAGATTGAGCAAACCAAAAACAAACAGTCCAACATTAGAAATTAAAACAAAAAGAAACAGAAACCCAGGAAGACAGTCATTTCCGGCCCCAAATCTGCTTTCTGTTCGTACTAGAAATGAGTTTCCATGAAAAGTGTCAACTGGTGACGTTCTCCAAGATGATTCTCCAGTAAACCAAAAACCCTAAATAATACTCCTTTAATCATTTTTGGAAGGGAGATAGCACATTGGAGACTGTGCCGCACACTTATTCAGACCAATAGAAGTAGTTTGTACAAAACAGACGCCTGCAATTTAAATACATTGTATTAACGGCACTTTCCTCAGCTTAATTCCCGGTCTGAGTCTCCCAAACTAGTGATCACGTCAAAACAACCACCAAAGGTGCGCAAGCTTTAATAATGCCCAAAAACACTGAGTGCATCATATATATAGCGCAAGTAGCAACAACTTTCTCGAACTTCTGACGGGACCTATTAGCCGCACAATGCTCGCTGAGGCCCGGATGCCCAAATGGGACTCAAAAGTTTCGATTAGTACACTAAACTCTATTGCCCGTCTGCTTTAGTAATTCAGGTACACGTCGTAGCTTCCAAAAATTCAGTTCCATTGTGCGAATACTATGCGCCACTTCCGATACCTTCTGGATGCGCTATTGGCAACCGCGTTCGGCCAGTACCGGGTCATGATTGGCCCCTGGGCCCAGATTTTCGACCAGTCAGACCGGCTTGATGCCGGATCGGCAAGCGTCCCGAAATTTTGGCCAATCTTGCGCCGGATGGGCTTCTTAGCCGTAGCAGCACCTGACTGCGGGCGGTAAAGCGGGATTCGTGTGGAATTCCGCCTAACATACATTGAATTGCTAAGCGGGGTACAATTGTTAGTCATTGTGAGCATACCATATTGCTTAATGGAGCAGGAAATCCAAGAGGACCAAACGACCGACCACATTGGCCGGTCTCTCCCTGCAGTTGAATAGCACCCGGACATCGATCATGTGGTAGCCAGCCCGTGCAACACAAAACAAGAGAGCACGTGTATCCTTGGCATGAGAATGATGAACCCCACCTACATATTTTGTTTAATTTTTCGTCTCCAGAATTGTTGGTAGCTTATAATAGCGTAGAATCAAACTTGAAACTGACATCTTTACTCTCTTTATGGGAGGAATCTTTGAGTTGGCGCAAGCGAATGCATCCAACTTAGCTGGTTCCTGACCGGCGCGACTCTGCTCAAGCAGGTGAAAAACTTACATCTCCTTAACATCAGTCATTTACCGCCTCTTTTTGGATTATCTAGGGTTTGAACTGGAATATGCCTGAAGCCTACTCCGTAGTTTTCTTTCTTATTCGACTAAGGAAGCTAATCAACTCCATTCTGATACTCCGGAGTTCATCAGCCCAGGTTTCCTCTCGATAAGGATTGCATCCATGTGAGTGGACGGCAGCCATTATCAAATCCACTGTAAAATTCCCGTGAAGTATTGGCTAATCACTTTGACTTCATTTTTGAAAAAAAACCTCGAATGAATAACTACATCAGGGTCGGAGAAGCAGCTGGAAGAGCTTGGCCATGGTCTTGGACATCCGCATGGAATCTCTGGTGATCTGGTTTGTTGTGAAATTTGGCCAATCTGACTGATAACGAAGCTCACCACGGTGTACGTTAAACCTAGTAATGCGTTAGACAATATTTCACACCAACACCTCAAAAGCAGAATGGGGTTATGGATGCTCGATAACTTTCTAATTTCTAGGCAAAACTCAAATATAATGAAGCCACCTCCAATCCAGTACACGTCTCGGTCACCATCTCATAACTTTCTTTATTGAAGCTCAAGCCATTCAAAATGCTTAACGCTTGCCGATGATATGAATTCCTGGACGATGCATGAGAATGTAGCGCCGCAAAACGTGTCCTTTATGCATGCAATCGATGGTCTGGAATGTGTCGGTTGTCAATTAATCTATCCGCACGCTTAGTTTCTCCTAGCAGCGCACCTCTCATCATATTAGAAAAAGTTTTTGGGCCGCGGTTACTTCAAAGAAAGTACTTCAACTCTCAGTGATTTGAAGCCTCAATTCCGTTCCTGAAATTAAAAGAAAAGTGGTTTCCTGTGTACTCACTGTAGCTATTTGACGTTCATTTTCTCGGATGACGGCGAAAATTTACAAGACGCAATCTCCTTGTCTCGTTTGCAGACCACTTCAGAGTAGGAAGAACCTGTGTTCTTTCCCTCCAAGAAGGAGGGAATGCACTCGCTGACGAACGTCGAAGACTTGAGATGCAAACCTGTCCTTTGGTCACACGATTTGTGGCAAGTTGAACATCTTTGGAATTTGGGTATTTTTATACAGGACAGTTGCAGCCACCGTGAGGATTTAACCGATGGCAGACTACTCACGAAAGGCACTTTTCGGTGTATTTATCCCAAGCCGTTGTAGAGCCATCACGAGCCATCACATAGGAACTAATTAGGTTTCGAAGACAAAGCCACGGTTCTGTTCTTTTTAATTATGGGAATACAGCAGTTATCTTGGACATCAATCCGACAGAGATAATTTCTGCTAACCTGTCTCTTTGTCTGCTGCAGTCACTTGGTGGACAGGTGTTGGTATGAACTCCACATTCGCATCATCACCATCATCACCACGAGCAGTCGTGATGCAGAGGTTGGGTTTGCACTACGAACCTTCCTGTCAGTATATTCGTACCCTAGCCACTGAACTATCTTGGTTATTTGGTGAATGGCCATATTTCGTCATCATCATCATCAAAGGCAGAAACATCAGTGTCGACACTGATGCTTCATTGCCGTACATCCATAAGGTTCGTCTAATTGTATTTAAAGCCCGAGTGTGAAAGAAAAGAAAAAGAGTGGATATGGGAGGGGACCTAGTGCCGGCCTATGTCAAGCATTTTGAGGTGCCTACACCTCCAGCCGCTCAATCAATCTGGAAAGAAGCTGACAGCACGAACGCCACTGACATCGATTAGCGGCCACTTATTGCAACGTCTCCCGCCAAGCTCAGACGGGGCCACGTGGACCCCATCCTGGAAGTCGTACAACACATAAACTCTTCGTGATCTCTTTCATGCCTTTCTGCTAAGTCATGTGCTGTCCACCTTGCGCCACAATGAAGGAGGCGAGGAGAACAACACTGCTCTCGGTAGACGGTATTTCGGCATGCGTAGCACATGACCGAGCCATCTTAGTCAATGATGCTGGATTTTTTCTCGGACTGAGGTGCCGGCAGTTCAACCTTGATATATACAACATTCGAAGCAGTCTAAGCGCATTTCAAGTGTATCGCTATGTGAGGCTATGTAGCCTGTTTCGCTTGGATTTCTCAGTATTCTATTTTACTACCCCGGCGTCTCGCCTCTATGGCTTTTCGGTCTCTTTGTTACACACGTTCACCGGTAAACTGGGCGTTGAATCCGGGTTTCCTTACAATTAATTTCTGCGTATCCGCGCCATGACAAATACAGCGGGCTTCGTGCTTGGTTCAAGTATTTCAAAGAAACCATGAATACTCAAACTGTTTGCTTTGTCTAGATTAAGTGGAGAAGTTCTGACAATTGGTGAATAGACACTGACTGAATAAAACAGCATCTAACCATCCATCAGT